GGGTCTTCCAACTTGACAGCTTTAAGACTTCTGGGCTTCAATTCCCAGAATTCCTGGGCTAAACATGAATGGAGGAGGAATTCTGGGAGTGGAAGTGCACAAGTCTTAAAACTTGCCAAGTTTGAAGATTCCTGGTTTAAACCCTCCCTCCCTCCCTCCAGGCTGTCTCTCCAGAAGGATCTGCCTCTGCCAGACCATCATGCTGCAGCGGGGGATGATGGGTGTGGCAACCACCCCATTGCTCAATTCCAACTCCCGCTTAAACTGCAGCTGCAGTTTGCAAGAACGAACAGCTCAGGAATTGCCCCTAAAGCAGTGTTTTTTTTTTTCAAACTTGGCAACTTTAAGTCTTGTGGACTACAACTCCCAGGATTGCTCAGCCGGCTAGGCTATGCTGTGCTGTTCTATACTGGCTGAGGGATCCTGGGAGTTGAAGTCCACCCGTCTTAAAGTTACCCCGTTTGAAAAACTCACCCCTACAACTTCGATTATTTCAAACAGGGGTCCCCAAACTTGGAACTTGAAGACTGGTGGACTTCAACTCCCAGAATTCTTTGCTTGGCTGAGGAATTCTGGGAGTTGAAGTCCACAAGTTGCCAAGTGTGGAGATCTCTGATTTAAAAGATTCCCCAAAACAAATAAATAAATAAACCTCTTTCCCATCTTTTTTTTTTTTTGTTTTAAAGCCTCCCTCCTTCCCTGCGTGGGGCCGACTCCCTCCTCCAGCCGAGCCCAGGCGGGGCCAGAGTCAGACTACAGAGCCCATCCTCCTCTCCAGGCTCGTGCAAAAGACCATCCCCAAAAGCGGGCTCCATCCGTCCTAACAACAGTCTTGCAAAGCAGGCCAGGGAGGATTTCATCCGCCCCTTCTGCTTGCAGCAGACGAGACACGGCTGAAGCAGCAGAGCCCCCCCCCCCAACCCGGCTAGATGATCTTATAAGGTCTCCTGCTGGAGCAGTAGGGGTTGGATTAGATGACCTCTGAGTGAGGTCCCTTCCAGCCCTAGAATCCGGCCACTCACCCGGCGATCTTCTGTCTGTCTTCAGCCAGCCAACCGGTCGCTGGGCCCGCTTACACAACGTCCCTGGGCGGGGAAAGAGGCGTGGCCGCCACGCCCCCTCCCCGCCCCTCGTTCGCCACGCCCCCGGCCGCCGCTCGCGGTTTTTTTTTGTGAATGAACTCGGGAGGGGGTGGAACGTTGAGACTTCCCCCCCCCGCCCCCCTCCTTCGCTTCTGGGCGTTCGAATCTCTGACGTCACTTGTTTGTTTGGGCTCGGCCGGCACGTGGCGGGAGATGCTTTCGGCGCTGTCCTCTCGCCCCCACCCCCCCCAATCCGGGGATCCGTTTATAAGGGTTGTCCGCTCCAGATTAACAGAGTGTTGGGAAGGGAACTTGGAGGTCATCTAGTCCAACCCCTCCCCGCCCAAAGCGGGAGACCCTACGCCCTTTCTGACAGACGGGCAGCCCCGGTCTCTTCTTGAAAGCCTCCAGGGATGAAGCTCCCACACCTTCTGAAGGTGAGCCATCCCATTTCATATAGAATAACGAGAGTTGGAAGGGACCTTGGAGGTCATCTAGTCCAACCCCCCACCCGCTCAAGTAGGAAACCCCACATCATTTCTGACCAATGGCAGTCCAGTTTCTTCTTGAAAGCCTCCAGGGATGAAGCTCCCATCCCTTCCGAAGGCAACTTCTGTTCTATTGAATATAGAATGACGGAGTAGGAAGGGACCTTGGAGGTCATCTAGTCCAACCCCACCTGCCCAAGCAGGAGACCCTAAACCATTTGTGACAGATGGCAGTCCAGTCTCTTCTTGAAAGAGGCTCACAACTGTGGCTACTTTGGCACTAATTTGGCATATTCCAGAGAAAATATTCCAGATTGGTCTCAGTCGAAACAATGATGAATCCTCATACAGACAGGAGGTTTAACAACTTGCCTTGTGGTGCTCCTGGAACAATCTGGAACTGAACACACTCAAAACCATAGAAATGGTGGTAGACTTTAGGAGAAACCCTCTTACAATACTAGACAACACAGTATCAACAGTAGAGACCTTCCAATTTCTAGGTTCACTATATCACGTGATATAGTAGAAATGGACACCTAAAATGGACACCTAACATCAAAAACGTCATCAAAAAAGCCCAACAAAGAATGTTCTTTCTGCGCCAACTCAGGAAGCTCAAACTGCACAAGGAGCTGCTGATACAGACAGTGGGGTTGGACTAGATGACCTACAAGGTCCCTTCCAACTCTGTTCTACAGAGGAATGATTGAGTCTGTCATCTGCGCCTCTATAACTGTCTGGTTCGGTTCTGCAACCCAACAGGACAGACACAGACTCCAGAGAG